GGTGAAATCTGTGGGAAGATAATAGTGCAGAAAAGCATGTATATGCTGAATTTAAGGATCCGTGGGAATGGAAATGCAGTGAAGGGAATGAAATGGCCAAAAAAGAGATTTGAATGATCAAATTACATCATGCTGAAAGGTTGCTGAGATGGAAAGGAGTTGGAAATGGTGAAGGTACGGATGGAAACAGACGAGGGAGGAGAAGCTGATGCAGGAACGAAAACTCTTTTGAGAGTGCAAACGTGAAGGGTGGGAGAGTGGAGGAAGGATTTAATGGGAGTTAAGGAGAGGGTGCAGTGGATTGCTAAGATGCGAATAAACCGCTCTAGTTCGAATAGGAATGATTATGTGGGAAGAGCGTGGGTCAGCTGCACGTGAGGTCGGATTGCGGTGGGTATGTTTACACAGGAAAGGAGTTAGTTGAGCCACGTTTGAATTCTCTAATTATTTAATCGAATTGGGTGCTATGAGCAAACGAACTCCTCATGCGTAAGGGTAAATTCCCTTTTGGCATGTCTCAAAACACTTGGTCGTTTACATTAGAATCTTTTGTGAGACAGCATGACTACAAAATCTGGCCTTCACCTGGAAATGGAGAATGGCATAAGGGAGCCGAATAGAAATTTTTTATAGGCATTTGTTGGGATAGCGGTTAGTGGCACGGTCGTAATAAGTTTGGCCGATTAGTATTAAAATTTGGTACCTACAGTCGTCATTTCTCGGGGATAAAGAGGATCTTCAAAGCATACATTGGAAATAACGATTACCATTGCTTTATGTCAATGTTTTGTTATTGGTGTAGGGCGCAATAAAGGCGAATTGGTAGTGCACAGATTGGGATATGTATAAAGAGTGGTCCAACCAACTCAGTGTCGCCTAAATGGGTGGTAAGTGCTGTGCTTACTGCAGATCCTCCTGTTGGCTTACTTTAGATAAAATTGACGTTAATAGATCCCTACAATTAAAAGGCTGTAATTCCATCAAAACATTTGACTTGCCGTTTAAGAAGAACCGCAAACTTTTGCATGGTTGCTTCTCTGTCCGTGCTGTCATCATGGATGGCGAGTATGCACCTGGACAAGAGTGGAGCCGCAGCAGTGGCAGGTTTTTGCACGACCTTGAGTCTACTCAAACCGAAGGGTCTTTTGGTACATGGTGCAATGGTCTCTGTGCCACAGGTGCCTCTCCTTTCCAAACCTTACAATTGTAGTCCAGGAATGCCGCTAATCCATTTATATTTACTTTCGCTACATTGACTGGCCACGTGGTTCGCGTGTGCAGTTTTGACACCGTTAGATGTAGGATTCATTACATTCTGGCTTACGCAAACATGGAATCTGGTAAGTGTGCGCACCTTCACGCTAGTCGTTATCTGTGTGTACTTGTGCACGTGTGTGTAACTCTGGTTGATTGACTATCGAGCTCCTCCCCTCTATTTGCTTGCCCCATTGTTCAGATTCATATTTTGCCACTTAGTCTGTCAGGCCACATGGCTCACCACAGAAATGGGTAAGAATTCATACCATGTCCATTAGTTGTTACACGTTGGTCAAAGTTCATTGTGCGTAGGTTAGCATTTTATGAGTAAGCGCATATGCACGTGTATTCATCTCTTCTCCCCCTCCTAACTCTTCCAGTCGACCAGATATCCAGCTACACTCCAGGCCTAGGTAGGAACTCGTTTAGTAATTAAATGGGTTATTGGTTAGCTGGTTTAGTAGGTCACTAGCATTTTGATTGGGCAATTTCCGTCTTCTTTATCCTCGTCAAGACCTTGACTATGTCAAACCACTCTGTAATCCATCCCCTTCCCATGCAGAGTGATACGAACTCTAAACGGCAGGAAGAAGAAGGAACAAATATGACGGGAACGAGTAGTCTTGCAATTTCAAATAATCGTCAAGAGACGTAAAAGTAGAGTGAAGAAGGACGTGAAGAAGACGGAGGGAGATTGAAAGCAGCAGGGAAGGTGGGGACAAATCATGGGCCTAGTCATTAGGATTCGGAGAAACCAGCACTGCTATCCGCATTAAACCAGTATTCCACCAGTGAAAC